ATATTTCAAAAGTTACTGGAAGGTGATCAGAACCGAAGTCAGCATGGGTTACTAATTGGCTACAAAGTTGACATGAATCAGTTAAGACCAAATCAATAGTTGAGGGATTTCTTGCTGAAGAAAAGCATATTGGGCTGTTTGGATATTGAATAGTGTAATAATCTGCAGAACAATTATCAAACAGAATATTACCATTGGAATTGCTTTGAGCATTATTCCATGAGCGGTGTGTTGTATTAAAATCACCAATAATGAAGAATTTAGACCTATGACGGGTAAGTTTCTGAAGGTCACCCTTGACAAAATTCTTTTGCTGGCCTACGCATTGGAATGGCAAATAGGCAGCTATAAACTTAAGTTGTCCAAATTTTGTTTCAACAGAAACTCCCAAGGTTTCAAAAACTTTGAAAAAGAAAGAATTTTATGTTTGATTCGTCTATGAACAATGATGGCAACACCATCACAGGGTCCATCAAGACGATAATTTCTATGAATGAAATAATTTGCGTCCCTTTTAACCTTATGTTTAGGTTTAAGGAACGTTTCAGTTATAACGGCAATATGCACGTTATGAACTTTCAAAAAGTTAAATAGCTCGTCTTCATGATCTTTAAGAGATCGAGCATTCCAATTTAAAATATGTAATGATTTAAAATCCACTACTGAATTTCAAAGTCATGACAATATTGTTCGCAAATTTTTTAGATTTAAGCATATCAGTAATAATGTCAATTAATGATTTCTGTAAAAATTCAATTTTAGGAGCAGTAATGCTTCCTAAGTCAAAATTTTTAAAAATTTCCTCTAGAATTACTTTGGCTAGTATTTTTATTTCTACCCGTTGCAATAGCAGCATAGGTAGCTCCATTAACTAGCTGAACAATTATTTGAACATTGTTAGCAGCGAGGAGAGTAGGTATAGATGAAGAATTTGAAGCAGGGGTGATAATTGTACATACGGGTACGAATGTAGAATTTGTTCCTCGCTGACCGTTGTTAACAGCCTGGCCGGGAACGTGGAGTGTTTCCTACCTGTCGCGTAGAACGAGATTGTAGGATCGCTTTGAACATTTAAATTTCTTAGGATCTTCCTTCACAGGACAGTCGTCCTTTGCGTGAGAGGAATCACCACAATTCATGCATTTAGCTGGCATTTAGCTGGCATTTAGCTGCATTTAGCTCGACTTGAAGTGAACTAAATACAAATCATTAGAAATCCCGTTGCGCGAATCATTTTCATTTTGATTACTTGGAGTGGGACAACTCCAAGTAATTTTGCCAGTTCATCTTTGATGTGATCCAAGGATTCACCACTGAGCAGTCCTTTCATGACAACCTTGAACACACGTTCAGTTTTGGTGTCGTAAGTAAAAAATTATGCTGCTTCTCAGTAAGATACTTGAGAAGACAAGGTTTCAGCCAATACACGGCATTCACCCCGACGTCCAATTTGTAGTGAAAACTTAACTTTCATGAAGTTCAAAAGTTCCATGCGAAGAGCATGGAAATCGGAAGTGGCTATCACAATAGGGGAAATATTTTCCTTCTTGGCATTAAGCTGGGAAAGTTTATTAGATTTTTTCTTGGATGATGGATCATTCTCATCATGCGTGAGCAAATCAAATTGATTGCTCAATTTAATTTCATCAGAAGGGGGATCAAGAGTTTTTCCTTTTCTTTTGCACTTAGGCGCCATAGCGGCAATAAATTTTTAGCCTAATCGACTGCCAAGCAGATTACTATAAGAATCTGAAGGATCGAAGAGGAATTTTCCAAATCGATATCCAAGAAGGATTACCTCGAGTAGGGTCCAAACAAGGATCGAAGAGGAATAAGAGTTGAACAAGGTAGAAATTTTACAGGTTGTAAGTGCTGTTTAAATTTGTTGTAGCTTTAGGTAGTAGTAACAACCGGTGGAAATTAACGATTTTATATTGGCTCACTACTTGACTAACCTATTGGTCCCAAGCAAATCGATAAACGTACCCCATTCTAGTTGAAATTCTGGTAGTACACTATGTTTGTTTTGATTCTCTATGAAAGTTTGACAAATAAAATGAGAGGTTCGTGGATTTTCCTATGTTTCGAGGGGTGCATCGATTAGCTTGGGACCGAAGATAGTACCAGAGCTGAGCCAAAAAGTTGAGCACGTTTCTTCGGGAACTTCTGTTCTTAGAGTTACCTCTATGGTAGTAACACTTCCTTCAGCAAAAAGCAAATAGATCAGCACGGCAAGAGAGCACGATGCGGACTGACCAAATAAGGTTAATTTATCCTACCCGATGGTGTTGTTGATTTGCGTGGGCGTACTTCGGTTCGCGCGAAAAGGGCTTAACAAGTTTTGTGTACAAAAGTTGACAGACCATTTTTTAATGTTTCGCGAGCATTATTCATTAATGGGTCTAAAAATACCCATTTCCGTTAAAACTACCCCTTCCCATTTAATTAGTAAATTTTGGTTTACTCATTAATGGGTAAACGGGAGGTCTGTCAATAAATGGGTTTTTTTACCCATTTTCTTGAATTATGTTTACAGTAAAATGGGTAAAAACCAGCAAAACCAGGTTCTGCAGCGTAACTTCACGAATAAACTCAGTGTTAATCGGCTGAACCTTTTTGACAGTTCAGTGGTACTGTTTACAAGTACTTAGTAGTTTAAGGATAACTCGGCACTGTAAAGTTTATTCGATTGAGCCTGTACAAATAAAGCAATTATTAAAAATAATTGCATATTGTTTTAGCTTCGCTTTAACATAATAATAATCTCTCATGGAATTTCAAAAAATTGGTAACAATCAGCAAAGCAATAAAATATCAAAAATACTGAGCAGTGTAAAAAATTTCGTGTTAATTATGAAATGCAAAACTTTTTAAACATAAGACATAATTAACCTATGAATTTTGTAATTAATTTGTTCGATTATCCACACTGGACAATTTTCATTATGAAGTATTTCTATATTTTGTTGAATTTATTCAATTATTTTAAATGTTATCAGAAATTAAAACTATGTCAAAATGAAGCTGAAATAGAAATATTGATAATGTTAAACTAATTTACCCTTTTCCTTGCTGAGTAGCTTGTGAATTTAAAAAAGAGGTGGACGATTTTTACTGCAATTGTTTTCTTCATTTTGTTTCGACGTGTATGACCCTAACGCCCTAGAGTAAAAGTATGGACGACTGTATCCAGAAAACTGAGAAAAGTTGTTCCAATCAAGCAAAGCAGTGCATTTTGACAGTTCGATTGGCAGCCGTCCATACTTTTACTTGAGGGCTTTATATGACCCTACATTATTTTTACAAAAGAAATATTATAGTTATCTGCTTACTACATGGCCGATAAGCTAACGTAGAGAGAGTTACTTTTACTCAGTTTTATGAGATGTTTCTTAAAACAGGCTACTCAGTGCTGATGAGTAATGTCTTGTTCAGACTACAGATTAATGGTATAGCGGTATCTTCTTCTTTCCTTAATTTAACGTCGGTCTCTGTTCCGCAATCTAGTTCCAATCACCAACGGACATCGATTGCTACCCAGCAGTGATGTAGTTGGTAAGCGTGATTACCTCTCACCCATCGACGGAAAACAAATCAAGGAAAAAAATCGATTGCCATCCATTGACGGCAATCGAATGTACAGGAAGGCAGGCTCCACACCTGCGTAGGATATCGCATCCATTCATCTCACACATGGGTCGGGACCAACTGCTTTACTTCCCTTCCGAAAGAAGACGTGACCAGAGATTTTTATGCCTCAGAAAAATCCCACCGACCTCGGCTGGGATTGAACCCAGACCCATTGGGGTGAGAAAGCAGTCACGCTTACCACTACACCACCGGCACCTGCATAGCGCTATCTTGATGGTGGTTTCTGTGTTGCAATTATTTGACAACCGTTATAACATGTTATAACTGCTCAGTCTGGCTACCCGAGCAAAGTCGGTTAACAAAATGAAAGCAAATCGATATTAAAGTGTGCAGTTCCTATCATAATGAAAACTCATTTTGATTTCAAATGTTGCGACATAAGTCTGATATCATATTGTGCTTTCATTATGCAGTCAAGACGTTTTAAATGAAAGCAACTTAACTTGAAGTTCTGCTGTTTACGTCTTGTTTAAAATTTAATTGAAATTCATCTGTCGTTGAACTAATGATTATCGTTTATCTGATTTGTTTAACACATTTAGGTCATTCGTGACTTGCCCGCGTTGAGATTGGAGCCTAAGTCTTTCAGCTTGAGAAACATGAATGGTAACCATTTACTCTAGGCCCGTATTCAGTCAAACATTATGAATGCAAAATCAGTAATCAAATTGATTTCATTGAAAGCAGGATTAGTTTTCCGTTTGCTTCAACAGTGTAAAATTTTGCTCTCATTTTTGCTGTGTTAACCGTTAAGTCAACCAAAATGAGATCAACTGGAGTATTCAAAATAAGTTACATCATAACAGCAAATTTTGATTTCAATTTGATCTTCAGCTTTGCTCGGGTAGCGCTTAATAGTACGTTCAGACTACAGAGTTATAACATGTTATAGCGCTATCTTGATGGTGGTTTCTGTGTTGCAATTATATTACAACCGTTATAACATGTTATAACTCTCCAGTTTGGACAGACGTTTTTAGAAATTTATCTTACAACTGAATAAAAGTGATTATCTTTCTCTGAGTATAAGATATATTAATTTTAGTGAAGGAAGACATAATTGTGATGATCTGGTTATCGACAGCCGGTTGAGCACCAGACGCGAACCCTCTTTACAATGCACCATTGCTGGCGAAAACTCTCTGATGAGACAACAACACCCTATTTCCAAGCTCCTCCGCTGATACTACCCTCAAAAATGTTACTCATTTAACCTCGAGTAAACCGCGGTTTGACGATATTGTGATATTTATTTATTTGCAGTTTTATTCAAATCTTACATACGTAGTAACCAATCTAGGTATATATCTTACAATGAACAAACTAAGTAGAGTGTATTGTTATTTCAGGTATTACATAAGGAATCACCAAACGACTAAACGAAGCAACTATGTCCGTCCTGCTTCTGCTATACTTGTTTCATGTTATGACGATAAGTGCACCCATTGAAGGATCTGTTGCAACTAAAACAGAGTCTTCATTATTATCACCACAGAATGTTGTAGCACAGTTTTCGTTAGATAACAACTCATATTTCACGCACCTTACGTACGACAGGCGAAGGAGTCTCATATATATTGGAGCAACTAACAGAGTCTACCAACTAGACACGAATCTCAAGCAACTCAATGAAGCTATTACTGGTCCCAAGTTAGACTCTCCACAATGTCATGCTGGAGGATGTTCTCCAGACGATGTAGAAACTTACGAGACAAATAATCATAATAAAATTCTGATTTACAACAGTGTGGGTGATACGTTGATCGCTTGTGGTAGCATACATCAAGGAGCATGTGAAATCTACTATCTCAGCGGACGATTTCCGGATTCATCCAAATATACAGAAATAGCTCTTGCTGCGAATGATGAAACGTCTTCAACGTATGCTTTCATTGGTCCAAGTAAATACCAATCATGGAAGAAGGAAGACATACTGTATGTTGGTACGACGTTCACAAACGTTGGTGATTATCGACACGACGTACCCGCTATTTCGTCAAGAAAACTTGACGATCTCAATTATGCGGAATTTTCAATCCAGCAATCGAACATCAACATTGATGTAAAATATCGGGACCATTTTCTAGTGAATTATGTGTACGGTTTCAACAGTTCGGAGTACGCCTATTTCGCCGTAGTGCAGAAAAAATCGCATCTTGCAGACGAAGCCGGGTTTGTCACGCGATTAGCCCGGATTTGTGTTAATGATCCCAATTACGATAGCTACACAGAGGTAAGTAAACATATTGAAGTTTAATAAATTCACACGGTAATCCATTTTCGGCATTAAAATACTCGATTTGATTATTTATTGATGTTATTACTCTTTAATACACGTGTTATCATATTAAAGCAATACAGAGGGAATGCCGTTTGGTATAAAATAACCTGTAATAGTGGTCGTTTGGCGTAAGGTACTTTAACAAAGATTGTCCCTGGTCTTCCGAGTTTTATTGCTGTAGTGAATATTGGTGCTTTAGCATTTTAGTCGTAAATGCCCGAACACAATGACAGTGTGAAACTAAAACCCTGATCTCAACCTAGGGGTCATGCATTAATTATGTATCGTGAAATAAAGGAGAACTTTAACGCAAATTTATGAATACTACTACTCCGAATTATTGAATACCCCTGAATTTCATTATCCAAATAAAAAATTAAGTTTCATTTTTATTTTAAAGTATGTGTCTAGCCCAAACTCTGGGCATTGACATAACCTTGAGGATTGCTGAACTGCAACAAGGTCCAGGCCTTGTCTGTATCGTTACATTTTGAAAGATGCACACTAGTGATCCATGTTGTGATGTAGCGGACCAAAAGTTTGTTGGAATTTAACTAGGGTAAATGGCTCTAATGTTGGCCTATACGGATCTAAGATTGAGCCCATCGCTAAAAATCAGCTATTTATCAATTTTATCTAGATGAACGCGTCATTGAGACGGTACTAATGGATATTTTGTTCGCTATTGAAAATTTAGTCGATTGCTGAATTTATTTATGGGCCCAAAGTACATCCAAAATTAAATAATTGTGTAGTTTACAGCGAATCCAAACACATAAAGCAACCAACGATACAGACAAAACGGTTGCTACGACTACCATGACAAACTCGCTCTTTAACATAGCTCGATCCGAGTGGTAGAAGGATAATGATATATTGCTTGCCTGCTTTGTTGCAATATACACGGATGAGGACAAAGCTTGATATCAGGCATAACATTTGATAACGGCACAAAAGCATTTGTAAACAAACTTTCTAAGGTTCTTTACACGCGAACCAAAGTACGCTCACGCAAACCAACAACATCATCGGATAGGGGCAACTATCACCTTTTCGAAAATGGTATTGGTTTGCGTGGGCGTACTTTGGTTCGCGTGTAAAGGGCCTTAGAAAGTTTGTTTACAAATGCTTTTGTGCCGTTATCAAATGTTATGCCTGATATGAATCGAGAAAAGACATAACAAAAAAATTCCCATTAACACACGTGTATCATCTTCGGCTTTACTTCGTGAAGCAGCTTGCCAACAATTTGCTCGTTTCCTTCTACCGCCCCGAGTGAGTTGTGTCGCATGGGCTGTGTTTGTTGGGATACCTTCAAATTTCGTTTGTCCTTGGGTACCCTTGAGGAGTGCTGCTTGGTGGTAATCTTCGACGTCTCGGGTGATTGAGCCACTATCTCCATCCAGAGTCTTCTCGAAACACAAATTATCACATAATACACCCTTTTTATTCAAACTACACTTATCCACAGAAACTACAAGACATGTATTTACTTAAACAATATTCACATTTATTATATAACGTGCTGAGGTTCGCCCTCCAGCTTCCGAGCGCGAGCAGTGGCAGTAGTGAACTAACTTTAAGTTTGATCATCGTATCATCTCCTCCCTTCGTATATGGTCATCGGTTACGGTCATCGGTTGCGGCGAAGACACTCCGCAGTGAGTGATCGAGTAACCAACGCTTCCAGAAATCTTGCAGCTGACGTTGTACTAGCTGCCAACGATCTAGTCTATTTAAGTTCGTCGAAGTAAGATTGGGATTCGGTAACGTTTGCAACGATCCGCCAGTTAAAAAATGAGCTGGAGTTAGTGGTTCGAGGTCTACTGGATCATCGGATATGGGTGTCAGTGGCCGAGAATTTAGGCATCCTTCGACCTGGGCCAGCAACGTGCGGAAATCTTCTGCAGACACAGGAATTTCTCCAAGGACACGAAGCAAATGATATTTCGCCGACCGCACAGCAGCCTCCCACAAACCGCCGAAGTTAGGCGCTCCTGGTGGGATAAAATGCCATTGTACACCTTCTCGACAGCATTCGTTAGTAACGGTTTCACGATGTTCATGATCTCGCAGCAAATTGAATAATTCCGCTAATTTATTTTTAGCTCCTACAAAATTAGTGCCGTTATCCGAGTATATGTCGGTGCATCTACCACGCCGGGCAAAAAATCGCCGGAATGCTTGCAAGAAACATTCAGTAGAGAGATCGGAAACGTGCTCTAGATGGACAGCCTTGGTTGCCATGCAAACAAATACCGCTACATACGACTTGATCGCCGCTCGACCTCTACCGGCCTTGGTGTATACCGGACCGAAATAATCGATTCCAGTTTTAGAAAAAGGCCTAGCAACAGTTACTCTTGCGGGAGGAAATTCACCCATTTGCTGTTCAATGCGAGTTGGTTTTGCTCGAAAACAACGTAAACAACGATGCACTATTTTTCTGGCTACATTTCTGCCACCGAGTGGCCAAAACCGTTGTCTTACTGCAGCAATCAGAAGTTGAGGTCCGGCATGAAGCAATTTCAGATGATAATGACGCAAAATCAGCTCAGTTAGATGATGTTTCGCTGGAAGAACCATGGGGTGTTTCGCTGAGTGAGATTCATCTGAATGGGTCAACCTTCCACCAACACGAAGAATACCGTCGTCCATGATCCGTGGATGGAACCACCGCAACGGTGAGTTTCGAGCTACCGAGCTGCCAGCCTTCAACGCCGTAATCTCCACGGAAAAGTGTTCCAGTTGGACTTGTCTTACGAGCAGTTCCTCCGCTTGTTGCACTTCTAAAAACGTCAGAAAACCTCTATTCCATGTTCCGCTCTTATGTAGAGTCACAATCAATCGTAGCCAGTAAGCTGTAGATCGTAGAAGCTTATTATAATCCGAAAACTTGAGAACATAATCCGAAACAAAAGAAGTCTTCTCTGCCGTACTTGGAACAGCTGTCTTCCGCATTTCTAGGGGATATTGTTCTACGGTTGGGTCCGATATCCATTGTTCCTTTGGTTTTTTCAACCAGCTTGGCCCACTCCACCAGAATTCGTTGTTCAGTATTTCGTTTGGAAGAATGCCTCGAGAGATTAAATCTGCAGGGTTAGTCTTCCCCGACACGTGACTCCAGTTACAGCCTTCCATCAAAGTTTGGATTTTGGAAACCCTATTTGCCACGAAAGTAGTCCATGTGGCTGGAGGTGATTTAATCCATTGCAGCACGCATGTCGAGTCCGTCCAGAAGTGTACTTCAGCTTTCGTGTTCGTGGCACCCAATACCTTCTCCCAAAGCTGTGCTGCTAAGAGTGCGCCACACAACTCCAAGCGTGGCAATGACTGTACCTTTAGAGGAGCGACCTTCGACTTTGATGTTAGTAGATGAACGGTAACAGTGCCATCCCTTTCTTCGCTTCGCACGTAGACTGTGGCACCATATGCTAATATCGACGCATCAGAGAAACAGTGAAACTCAACTGAGGTTGCGCCGGGTACGACGACACACCGTGCAACCTGTAACGTATTCAGTGACGGTAGCTGTTCGTGATATTTGCGCCACTCCTCACCCACCGTTTCAGGCAGTTGATCGTCCCAGCCTAATCTTTGATTACGTTCGTTTACCAGAGTCCATAAACGTTGCATAAACACCTTTGCAGTCGTGATAGTTGCACCCAGTAGTCCTAGAGGGTCGAACAATCTTGCTACGATACTGAGTACCTTCCTACTTGTGAAATGCTGGCCTTCTACGAGTGGTGGAATGCTGAATTGGAATTTAAAGCGGTCTGAATGAGGAAGCCAGGTAAGTCCCAAGGTTTTGACTTCTGCATCCTGGTCCCAATCGATTCCATGCGTAGTGGGTAGTGTCAAATCCTGCTTGGGAATGTCCTCTAACACATTTGGAGAATTTGACGCCCATTTTCTCAACCTGAAGCCTCCGCTAACTAGCATAGCATCCAATTGACATCGTAATTCAATAGCAGACTCCATATCATCCGCTCCGGAGATCACATCGCCCATGTAAACGTCTTCGTCAACGGCTTTAGCAGCTAATGGGTAGTTCGCTCGCTCATCCTCTGCCAATTGTTTTAACGTACGAGTAGCTAAGAACGGTGCTGATTTCGTACCGTAAGTCACCGTAATTAGTTCATATGTGGCAATTTGGTTATCTGGGCCAAACCATAGAATGCACTGTAGGGGGGTGTCGAGACTGTTGACCCAAATCTGCCGGAACATCTTTTCCGCATCTGCGACTACCATAAATTGACGGAACCGGCTACGGAGAATGATTGGCCTTAGACCTTGCTGTACTATTTGTCCTGCAAACAGCGCATCGTTTAGCGAGATGCCTGTAGATGTTTTGCAGGACGCATCAAACACCACCCTGACCTTAGTTGTGGTGCTTGACTCCTTAATCACAGGATGATGGGGCAAGAAGACTCGTTTGACGACTTCCTCATTCGTATCCTCTACCTTGCGCATGTGGCCAAGATCCAAATACTCCGTCATAAAGGCACAATACTGTTTTTGAAGATCCGGGTTCCTTGACAATCTTCGTTCCACGCTTCGAAAGCGTTTCAGGGCAATTTCCTTTGATTCTCCTAGTTGTACCAAGATCCGTTCGTCCTTAGGAAGTGTTACGGTGTAGCGACCATCTACTTCTCTTTGTACTGTTCGTCTGAACTGTTCCTCACAGCGTTTTTCTTCTGTAGAGTAGTTGTTGACGGCTCCTAAATCTTCGCAGGACCAAAACCGAGACAATAGTTCCTCCAGGTTATCCGAGATTGCAATGCTGCACGAAAATCTTGTAGTTTCCACCGGCGTGTAGATCTCACCAGTTACGATCCATCCAAAAACCGACTCCGTAAGTGTAGGAAGGTCATCACCCATAGACACTTCCTTTCCAGACTGGAAGAAACTGAAGAACGCCTGGATTTCTAAAATTATGTCTACCTTCCTAG